TTGTCGAAGACAGTTTTTCACACGGATGCCAGCGGACGACAGCTTGGCGCTGTGCTACTCCAAAAAGTTCCAGACGGTACTCAAAGAGTAATTTCGTATGCAAGCCGCCGGCCTACACAACAAGAATAGACATACCATTCATTCGAATTGGAATGTTTGGCCCTTGTCTGGTCGGCCCAGAAATGTCGCCCTTACCTTTATAATGGCCATTTCATTGTTGTGACAGATAGCAGGGTTGGGCAGAAATACTCAAAAATGTATTTTGAAATACAAATACTGGGATACATTAAAACAGTAGCTAAAATACTGATACTAAAATACACCTGTAAAAATATAGCGCGATACGTATCGGAAGTACATTTTTGAATAGGGGCAAAAAGTATTTGGAAATACAAATACAGGAATACATATTAGAGAGGGCAGAAATACAAATACAGAAGTACTGATACTGCAATAGATTTTTCAAATTTGTTTGAGATGCCAACTGAGATGAAGCTCGAAGTTTGAAGTGGAAGTTTTTGTTTTATCCCGAAATTGCTTTCCCGTAGGCTTGGCACTTAGCCTTGAAGGTAGTGGTTTCGGACGGCGAGGAATCTTCAATGGGCAAAAAACAAAAACAAAAAAAACAACGTTCCATCAAGGACTGACCGCGGTCCCTTCCCTGACATCCTGTCTGTCTGAAGAGGGATTCGAAAAGACTTCGACCACTAAATAAATTATATTTCATCCTAAATTCCATCAAAACGCCACCACGCCCCTGTCCAATAAGGACACCCCTGTCAACATTGATCACATGGCGTCGCGGTGGAATGAACTGGTATTCTTCATCTGTAGGTGTTGACATACCATACACTTCGTTTGCTTTAAACACGTCACAACAAGCGAGTACCGCGACGACCCCTTTTACGCTGGTGTATGGTAGAACTCCGGTTCTTCCACAGGAATCGACGTTATTCACCACGTGGACCCAGAGAAGGAAAGAAATAGGTGCCCATTGGGAGAACCGACTCGGCGAGGCCCGACGCCGTGCTCGCATCGCCATAACCAGACCCCAGCAGCGGATGCTAACCAAACACCAACAGGACGGTTGAATGTCTCCCATTGTACCGGGCGACCTTGTACTCGTACGCCGTCCGGTCAGAAGGAAAGGAAGAGCAACAAAGCTGCTTCCAATATACAAGGGACCCCGTGAAGTGCTTCGACAGACAGACCCCGTGAGCTACCAGCTACGAGACATCAACGCGTCTTGAGAAGTATCCCAGACTTTCCCGGCTCACCGTAGTCAACTAAAGTTTTACGTGTCGAGACACACACTCAATCAAGACTAGAACGTGATACAGACTACCGAGGACGGGCAGTCAGCCAGGAGGGGGAAAGTCTAACGGCAGGAAATGGAAGGCGCTATTAGCCTTCCATTTGAGCAGGTGTGGGACTAGAAGAAGAGGAAAAAGAACATAGATGAATGGCACGAGGTCGAAAAAACTGGAACAACGAAAAAACGATCTGTAACAATATGATCAGACTTGTCATTCGCCGAGCGCCCTCCGCAGATTGCAGCGATTGCCCCTCACAAGTGCTATGCGGGTGACCAGAGGCTCCAGACTTCTAGAGTGTATCCGCCAAGCGCGGGTGCGCACCACTATGTAGAAGTGTGAAGGGTTAGACTTTAGTCACTGACAGAACGAGAACGGCAGGGCTTGTCTTTCGAACGCTCAATGCCGTGCTTTTAATATTGAAATAAAAAATAATAAAGAAAGACGTTTACAAATTATAATGCAATTAAATATAAAGGTGCAAGCCAGCTGGACAAGAATGACGAAAATATTCCCTGGAGAAGGGATTATTGTTCCCCTTCTCCAGGGATTATTTTCGTCATTCTTGTCCAGCTCGCTTACACCGTTGCATTTAGTTGCATTATAATTATAACCTTAAATTTACAAGCTTCACCCTCGTTGGTGTTAAACGGGTGGCGGCTGACAAAACCCGTTTGCTCTACTGACGTCTAACCCCTGGTTAGCTTAGTTGGTAGAGCGCTCCACCTGTAATGGAGAGGTCCCGGGTTCCATACCCGGACCAGGCGGATTTTTTCGGTCGCTCACCAGTCACCACTAGCTGTGTTTGGAGATTTATGTTTCGTCCTTTGTGCCTCTTGTTCCCCTTCTCCAAGTATTATTTTCGTCATTCTTGTCCAGCTCGCTTGCACCTTTGCATTTGATTGCGTTATAATTATATCCGTAAATTTACAAGCTTCACCCTCATTGGCGTTAGACTGGTGGCGGCTGATAAAGCCCGTTTGCTCTACTGACGTCTAACCCCTGGTTAGCTCAGTTGGTAGAGCGCTCCACCTCTAATGGAGAGGTCCCGGGTTCGATACCCGGACCAGGCGGATTTTTTCGGTCGCTCAGCAGTCACCTAGCTGTGTTTGGAGATTTATGTTTGTCCATTGTCCCTCTTGTTCCCCTTCTCCAGGGATTATTTTCGACGTTTACAAACCTCTGTAATGCGAAATTAGAGCGCACCTCTTAAGGAGGAGGAGGCGAGGATACAGAGGGAAGGTTATGCCTCTCCTCATTCTCCGTGCCCTCTCCTCCTCCCCTCCGCCTCCTGTTATCCCCACCTCCTTTACTCCTCCTCCTGCTCCGTACCCTCCCCTCTTCCTCCTCGCTAAATTTAGTGGGAAAATTGACGTCTTGTAACCTCAACACCAATTCAGTTCCCCCGCTAAATTTAGCGGGGAGCGTGACGTCACATGACTTGGTGTCACGTCACCTATGAATAAATTCACTTTCTCCGGTAGATTTAGCGGGAAAATTGACGTCACGTGACCTCAACGCCAATTCAATTCCCCGCTAAACTTATCGGAGAATTGAATTGAGGTTGAGGTTCCATGACGTCCATTTTCCCGCTAAATCTAGCGGAGAAACTGAATTTGTCCACTAAATCTAGCAGAGAAACCAATTTCCCCGCTAAATTTAGCGAGGAATTGAATTTGTGCTGAGGTCACGTGACGTCGATTTTCCCGCTAAATCTAGCGGAGAAACTGAATTTGTCCACTAAATCTAGGAGAGAAACCAATTTCCCCGCGAAATTTAGCGGGGAATTGAATTTGTGTTGAGACCCCGTGACGTAAATTTTCCCACGAAATTTAGCGTGGTTACACCGACGCCGACGCCACGAAACCCGGAAACGGGCGCCTAAGAGTTTTCACTCTAAAAAAAAAAAAAAGATATCTTGCGTGGACTACACCATGGACTCGCTTCACCACTGTGCACTCCTGCTTCAGGGAAAGCGCTTTGGTGATAGAGCGAAACGGCTGGCGTACCGTGTCCTGAGTTGCCAGTTTAATCCGGGGAGGTCTGTGGCCGGGTGTCTCAACGCATCGCAGCTCGGAGCACGTGGAGCGAAAGGTCACGCTGCTGCAGAACCCAGAGATACCGGGTTCAATCCCCACCCCTGCCAGCTTAGATCTGGATGAGCGCCGTACCGGTGTCAGTTCGTGTACTACTACTCCATGGTGCACGTTAAAGATGCCAGCAGTGGTAGTGCACTGGCTAAATTTTTCATCTAAAGCGGAAACACCAGGTGCCCAGTGTTGCTGACTAGATTTCCGCTGTGTGCAAACGAACAAACAACACAGTCATAGTTCAATCCAATGCGTTGTTGTCGGGAAAACAGTATTGTATTAATGTGAAAATATCGTGTTTTCCGGGCGGTACCGCTGCTCTGATTCTCACATTTTGTCACCGAAACGTAATTTCTTTCCTATAGCATTATGTTCACTCGAAGTTTGTGGAGATCTTTCTAATATCTAATTATTTACGAATGTGGCCAAATATTTACCTTCCGGTACTGCTTACGGTGTGGGGCGCATACATATATATACATCTGCCATATTCTTCCCCTCTCGTGCTTCGTCACTACTCGATATCTTTGCTCAGTGTTTTATTAACAGTGCCAAGAGCCTCACACGTTGTTGGCGAATCTCCGCAGTGCTATTTGAAATGTAATTTGTTTAGTATTTGATTAGAAAACCATTAGTATAATTAAATGTACTACGTTGCTGCATTCCAAAGGAAATATAATTCGCCGGCTTAGCATCTGCAGTACTTGTCGCCCCGGTGGAACTCTTATTTTCTTACTACAGTGCATTATTTTGCTTGCATCCAACGGCGTTTTACGAGTTTTGAAGTAGAGTATCGATATCCGATTTATACCTAATAGAACGCGTTAACACTCTCTGAGTGATAGCCTAAGAAAATCGGGGCATGACAAGCCCAGATATTCTTATAATCGCTTCGCAACCATAAAACGAGAGTGGGAAATTGGAAAGGTTTAGTAACACGTTTATAAGAAGAAACGCAAGCGCTGCAGTAGCGTTGCTTGCTCCACGCTGCGCTTGCGCGTCATCGCCACAAGCCAATCCAAGATCGCAGTTCGGGCTCCGAGCACGCACGGTGTGAACCACGGAGTGCTAAAACATACGCACAGTGCCCTAGCCTCCTATATACTTACAAAGCCTTGCAGATCGCCATGAGAAGGGGCTGCCGAAATGGAAAAGGTGGAGCGACAGACAACGGATGAGAGGAGAGCCACGTGACTGGCGCCCCGCTGCGGCGAGACACCGAAACACACTTCTCCCGAGCGAACAAGTGTGTTTCGGGTCCTCACCACTGCAAAAGCTGTGTGCTGACGTCCAGGTTCCCCGAGAAATAGCTCTTTAATGCTCTGTGCTACCAGATCCTCGCGCTCCAGATCCGCGACCGGGCACTCTATGGCTCCGTCGTCGAACTGCCAGGCTTTGTGAGTATAAAGGAGGCTATGACAATGTTTGCGTTCGTTCGGATAGGCAATACTAAAACTCACCATTTAGCCACTAGAAACGCAGAAGAAACGAAACACGAAGCAAGAATATAAAAAATGCACCGCCCTGTATTTCTTGAGCTGTCCGTGACTGGAGAAAACAAGGCGGCAAGAGAGGAAGACTGAGTCGTCGCGCTGAATGCGTGCCAGAGTCGCTTTTATTTTCGAGACTGCGACAAAAATTGGTGAAACATTTACATGAAAGAAGCGCGGCACGCATCGCCTATGGTTTTCCTACAGGAAATGATCGATGACGTGGATGACTCCGTTGGACGCCACGTTATCGGGGTTGTTGACGTTTACACCGTTGACTGTGATGCATTCTGCGGATTCGAAGGGAAAGAAACAACAGACGACAATCAGTGGTGCTTAGACTTTGCTCTTGATGTTTTACGCAACGTTCCGTTCTCCTTCGTTATTTTTTTTTTTAAAGACGGGAATAAACATGCCGCCTTCTCGTTAAGGAAAACTCTTACTTTTTTACTGTTCACTAGAGTGATCTCGTGGTCGGTGCTTTACAAATGATTTATCCCAATATTTTAGAATCATACTGAAATATGACTAATATTTGTTTTAACTATCCGAGAATTATAAGCTGTAACTGTGACTGCCAGATTTTGTTTCTGGCATTAGATAATTATATGTATGTTGAAAAACATCGTAATGATATAAAAAATTTAATAGCTAATAATTAAATATTAAAGTGAGTTCCTTAAGTTGGCGACCTTATATGCTTAATAAATTAGTGACATTCAGCCGAGATCAATTAATATGACTTTAGGCAAAATAATAACCCGGAGTAGTGAAAGCGTGAGGAAAGTGAATCATAATTACCAGGGATGATTCTCATTGTGAGGTCCAGTCCTCCAACCGTCTTAAGAACTTGGTTTTCTTGAACACCGGCGCTGTACACGGTGCCGAGGACGATATGACGGAGCAGCAGGGCTGAAACAGTTGCATAATCGGTCAGTCTAAGTACTCACATTTAAGTCGGGCTTTTGAAAGTAATCTCGATAGAGATTCTCAAAACGCAGTTTGAACTGTCCGTTACTTTGTTTTCAGTATATTATCACCAGCATGTTTAGATATTGTTTAGGTGCATGACTGAAGTGGACGAAAGGCGGATGGCTGTCTCTATCCGACGAGGCTTTCCAAAAACCGGCAAATGTAGCTCATAGCTTTGCAAGTTTACCGTCAAAGATATAAAGCAACCTTTGTCGCTCCTTTCTTGTCTCAGTAGTTTTCGTTTTACCACCGTCCTGGTAAAAGTCGGCGTACCTTTTAGGGCTTCCCTGTCGCGAAGAACATTCTCCATTCCCACGGCGTTCTTGAAGGCCTTGTCACTGGGCGCGAAGAGGGTGTACGGACCGGCTCCTGCAAGTCACCAAAGCGGGGAAAATTGTTTACGTTTGCATTGCCACTAAACATCTACTCTACGTTCCTCACCGAGTGGTTATGTCAGACCAAAATACAAATACCAAATTGTATGAGTACCCAATTCGCGCGATTATTATCTCCCGTACTAGTTAGGGGTTGTACAATCCTAATTGACGCTAACAACGCACATCGAAGTCCTACGGGGAGTAGTTTTACTTGAAAAGGCCATTTCCATAAACTCCAGTACGACAGACCTTTGGGAAAGTGACATTTTCGAAGGAAACAACTGCCACTTACGGGCCTTTGTTTTTTAACGGGCTCAGATGAAAGATGGACTCTTACATTGGCCGTCAGTTTAATAGATTTAACGGTAGGAATTACGGCGCAGTACTCATTTGGCGTACCGGAGAGGTATTCCTCGAGTCCAGCGAACTTGATTGCCTCGTCCAACTTGGGCAGGAGGATGGACTGGTGGACGACGTCAAGGATGCTTCCTCCAGGGCGGTGAAGAACTCGGTCGACAGTGTAGAAGACAAAGTTGCCTTGTTGCTTCCTTGTGCCGATAACTCCACCGGAGGCAGTGACGACCTGCACAGTATTTTGGAAGATGTTAGTTCAGACATCGGTGTGTCTTACAGCAAACGTATAGGCGCCATTTGAAGAGCGTTATTAGTCATCATGTTATTATAGCGCAAACGTTCCTTCAGGTGGGAGTGTTATATGGGACGCTTTGTACATTTCTTTAGAGATTTGATTTGTGTTTTATTATCGTGGATACCAATATATGCAAATGGAAACACTTATGTACATCGCAACTGCTATTGCCTTGAAATGATACAAACTGTTGAAATGTGGTAACCTATGTGCCAAAAATAACTGCGATCTCAGGCCACGTAGAGCTAGGGTATCACAACAGCTTTCGAGCGCAGTCGTCGTGTTAGAAGATAATAGTAGATTACGTTACTCAGTCCGACAGGCCAGAAAAAGTATTTTATCCACACCGGTTCGTGTCTCCAGTAGCATATATTATGGTCATTTTTGCGGTCTGTTGAATCCGAAGCATTAAATAAACGCTCGCCTTTGAAGCGTTCATGACTTCAAGATAACACTTTGCAAACGTAGTTGCGCGTTGATGGGAAATATCCAAAACTACACTTTGACGTGAACGTAAATTGATGTCATGCCGCGTTTAGCATTGCCAATGTTTACATTAAAATAAATTCTGGGGCAGGTTGTCCACATATTTACCTTTCCATTGAAGTACTTATTGAAGCGCAATCCAGAGCCCTCGTCTAATGTTGGGTAGACACTGTCGTTGTCGATCGAGACGTCTCCGACCACGATGTGGTACAGAACCAGTTGCCTCAGCAACACGGTGTCTCTCTCGAGCTTAGAAAGGAGTTGGCCAGAAATCTGCCCGATGGCTTCGTCACTTGGCACAAAAATGGTGTAGAATCCTGTAACAAAAAAAGAGTAGCCGTACTTCCTCAAGATACTTGCGCATAATATTGAGCGATCACTAAACTGCAACACAAATTAACAAAATAAAATAGTCATGAAAAAGGATTAAGAAACCCAGAGAAGGTGGACCCAGAATTCACTTCCGTTGATAATAATCATTTCAAATAAAAACATGATAAGGAGAAAACTGCTCTATGGTCAAAGAGCTCCAGCAGAAACCTGCATCCTATTTTGACACTTCTCCTTTGTACTCTCTTTTAGAATCATTATGTTTGCAACCTTAAAGCCTCAACGTATTGTTTGAGGATAAACAGCAGAACAGTTGTCTTTTGTTACATATTATAACATATTGCATTTGGTACTTGGTTACCTTTCGCAGCTTTTTTGCCCTTAAGTACAAAGAATAATCTTAAATGAATCCGCATGTTCGTCGTTCCTTTTACTCAATTTACGAACATTTTTTTATCTACTATGTTTTAGTTCGCCTTGGTTTTTCTCTTTACTTGCGTTTATGAATTGTTTTTTCTTAATTTTCCCTGAGGGATTTAAAGATATCAAGCAAAACTAAAATCAAAACGTCCTCAATTTGTCCTTAAAAAATGTCCGCAGTTCCGCACTGGGTTTTAATAGGAATCAGTAAGCACTTGTCCAAAAGCTGGACAGGGGCTGTCAGAATCTTTAATAAAGATTTAAAAAAAAACTGCTTACACACGAAAGAGGGGAAGAGAAAAAGTGATAAAAAGAACGAGGCAGAGAAAGAGAGAGAGAGAAAGCTAGAATTGGTATGAGGTACTATTTCAATACATTAATAGAGACAAATAAACTGTCATGTGACTAACGTGGACAAAGCTTTAAAATATTTTGAGAATCTCAAATAGGCAAAAGGTCGAATAAATAATATTACTTAATAAAAACTACGAGCCTCAACCTTCAAATGTATAAACAATTTCGGCAGTTTAGAAACGTTCCAATGATGGGACGATGATCGGTATATGAAGGGTTATTTATATAAAAAACAAAAAACAACATGCGGGATGTTTCCTTTCGTGCTCGAAATAGAAAAAATAGCTTTTTTCATTAATTTTAGATCAACACGTTTAGGAGTTACGTTTCGCTGTTTATCAGCAAAAACTATTTTGCTCTGAACTCCACAATATTCAAAGAATAAACTCACCTCCATCGTTGATATACTGGAGTGCTCCTGACTTCTGAAGCCAGGAAAGGTACCTGGTCGCCTTTAGTTCTTTCAAGACAAGTGTGAAGTCAAGTGGTTTCCCTTGTGGCTGTCCAGGCGTTTTAGCCGGTGAAGTATACTGCACACCAGGTCCCGTAAGTCCGATCACAGTCGATGGAATTCCACCAGTCTTTATGGTCGCACCGCCAACAGTGTGGGTAACAAACTGCAGGGATGGCCCCAGAACAGTAGTCTTAGCAGGTCCAACGCTTGTGAATCCAAAGGTTCGCTGCACTCCAGGAACGACGCCTACAACCGTAGTGGTAGGAGGAACAAACACTCCCGTAGCCTTTCCGAAGGTAAATTGAGCTCCTGGTAGTGCCAGACCAGATTGCGGCCCTGCTGGTCTTGGGACGGGCAATACAACTCCTAGAGGCTTTCCGCCGAATGGAGCGCCCGGGGCGCGAGGCGCGCCTGGTCCGCCTGGTCCACCTGGTCCTCTAGGTCCGCCCGGTCCACTAGGTCCGAAAGGTCCACCTAAAACAATAATTTTTAGTTACTAAGTATTTCTGCAACCTGAATCATCCACTGGGGCAATCGGGACCTCCTGGCTTACCTGGTCCAGATGGTCCACTAGGTCCCTTAGGTCCGCCAGGGCCACCTGGTCCGAATGGTCCGCTTGGTCCCCTTGGTCCGCTTGGGCCGCCAGGACCACCTGGTCCGAATGGTCCGCTTGGTCCCCTTGGTCCGCTTGGGCCGCCAGGACCCCCTGGCCCAAACGGTCCGCTTGGTCCCCTTGGTCCGCTTGGGCCGCCAGGGCCACCTGGTCCGAATGGTCCGCTTGGTCCCCTTGGTCCGAATGGTCCGCTTGGTCCCCTTGGTCCGCTTGGGCCGCTAGGACCACCTGGTCCGCTTGGTCCCCTCGGTCCGCCTGGTCCACCAGGTCCAAATGGCCCACTTGGTCCTCTCGGTCCGCTTGGGCCACCTGGGCCGCTTGGTCCACTTGGGAAGGGTCCGCTTGGGCCACTTGGTCCGCTTGGGAAGGGACCACTTGGTCCACTTGGTCCACTTGGGTAGCGCGCTGGAGCTTGAATTAGATAGGAACAACATTCCAGTTGAACCGGATTTGCAATATAAAACTATTTGTGTAATAAAGCTAATAAAACAAGAGCCTACTAATCTACAATATCGAAATATTCTAGAAGAATATGGGTAGAACGCGACAGATTAGTACGCGTTAAGACAACAAACCACCAATGCACTGTCGAAACGACGCACGTTCAAATAGCTGGACTTGTGCTCAACGTTGACAAAACAGCCCTTACAAGGCAGCGCGCGTCAAAACAACATGCCACCAAGAAGAGTGTGCTTCAATCTTACAGCGACTGACAAGTGTTACATAAATGATGTGGCAAATTGATCACACTGCCCTAACGGATTAGTTTTATTCTGCAGGAAAGAAGTTCTCCAATCGTAAATATGCTTTAATTTTATTTTGCCAATAATGATGACTGATATAGTAGCAAGCAAAATAAGTGAACTGAGTATTCGACAAGTCATTATGTTTACGTATTTCACAACTTTGGCAATAAGTTTAGTTATGTAGCTGCTGGTCGCTTCTCTCGCCCTTGTTCGAAGTGTTGTCTTTTTTTCTCGCTATGTTTACTTAACTGGCCAGGCAGTTCATTTTGGTATATTGGCTGACTACTGTTTGATACCGAATATGGTTTATAGCGTTTAAAAACTAATTTATACTAAATTTACGCACGCGATTTTGCAAGACTTCAGCTCTCATGGTGAACATCATTCTGTTTGTTCTTGTTAAATTTGTTTGGTCCCATTCTTATGTCAGTTTCATATTGTGCAGACACAAAATCTTTTTGATTATTAATATATAAAAACATTTATGTATATATATTCCAGCACATATAAAAACCGTAGAGGCGCAGACAAAGTCACGCAAAGCATTTGCACAAAACAAATTTAAAAGATACATTTTGTAAGATGTTATATTTATGTAATTAAAAAAAGTCATTCGCTCACTAAGTTTACAAACGTTATAGCAAAAATGAGTATCATTTTAGAGTATTTTGTTACTCAAAATATGTTTTATTTTTAGTAAATTAACGAGGTTTTGTTAACTTACAAATGATTTTGCCTTAGGGCAACACGAATCTCAAAATTATATAAAAAAAGATGATTTTATTTTAACAGCTGCTTTCTTTAAACAAATTACGTGCCATAAGACTTCCGAGCATTTGCTTTACTTCCTTAATTAACACATTTTCTTTGTTATCTTAGTTTTGCTTGGAAATCACGCTTTTAAGGTGAAGTGATCATGACAATTGAACCAAAAAAAAATGACTAGGTAAATGATGGAGTAGTCGCAACATATCTATAGTAATGCGCAGTAAATATGCCACCACTTTCTGATTTTGAGCAAGTTAGGCCGACGTCAGTGGCTAATTAGTTCGTCATAAGTATGTAACAATATAAAATATTTTAGTTCATATAGACATATTAATAAAACAAGTGAGTATTGTTTTTTAAACATCCTTACATTGCATCTCCTCCTTAGTGGTTATAACACGTGATACAATGAGCAATGTATTTCAGCAGAAAGGTAGAAATCATATGAATTTACATAACGCAGCATAACTATGTCGCCACTGAAGCAGTACCCGTAAATACAAAAAAACATGACATTGTGAACTTTCGTTTCGAAATAACCAAAAATAACGCAGCATAACTATGTCGCCACTGAAGCAGTACCCGTAAATACAAAAAAACATGACATTGTGAACTTTCGTTTCGAAATAACCAAAAATGCACAAAGGCTGTGACTTTAGAAATATAAAAATGGTCTTCTCCAGCTTTGTGCAACTATTGCGAGATGCATCGCAGAGCCTCCTGTACAGTTATAGTAGGATAAAACTCGTATGACATAATTTGCGTGTTCCATTTAAGTTTAAGTTAATCACTTTATATAAAATGCATTTATTTGAATTACATGGAGCTCCCGGTCCTCTTGGTCCTCCTGGGCCACCAGGTCCTAATGGTCCGCCTGGTCCTCTCGGTCCTCCTGGGCCACCAAGGCCGAATGGTCCGGTAGGTCCCCTTGGTCCGCTTGGTCCAGCTGGCCCCCTTGGGCCACCAGGGCCGAAGGGACCACTTGGTCCGCTTGGTCCAGTTGGGAACGGTCCGCTTGGGCCACTTGGACCGCTAGGGTAGCGGGCTGGAGCTTAAATGGTAAAGAAACCAGACACACCAGAGTTAATGCGGCATTTATTAAGCCTTTAATACAAAATAATTTAATAAAAATAGCCCACAAGGCTGTGAAACTGATTGAAGTTGAACATAAATATTAAGTAGTTCAGCCGCGCGCACGATGCTTTTCCTTCAGGTGATCACGAAATGTTCGGTCATTTCTTATGATAATATAAAAATATTTCGATGCATAATTAACTAAACAACGTCGTAAATATAAGTCTAAGGCGCTATTCTGGCCTACCTGGGGCGCCCGGTCCTCTTGGTCCACTTGGTCCTCTTGGCCCACTTGGGCCTCCGGGGCCACCTGGTCCGAATGGTCCACTCGGTCCCCTAGGTCCGCTGGGACCACCTGGTCCGCTTGGTCCACCAGGCCCGAATGGCCCACTTGGTCCTCTCGGTCCACTTGGGCCACGGGGGCCACCTGGTCCACTTGGGAAAGGTCCGCTTGGGCCACTTGGTCCACTTGGGAAAGGACCGCTCGGGCCACTTGGGCCACTTGGATATCGTGCTGGAGCTAAATTAAGAAAGTAGAAAAAGTGCGAATAATTCTCTAAGCTCCCCCCTATTATGGGCCACGTTTTTCCAAATGCCTAATAAATATATTCTAAAGATAATAACTGAGTACTCTAGGAAATCTACAAAACATCAATTCTGATGATTACCCGGCGCGCCAGGTCCCCTAGGCCCACTTGGTCCTCTTGGTCCGCTCGGGCCTCCAGGGCCGAATGGGCCACCTGGACCTCTTGGTCCTCCCGGGCCTCCTGGTCCGAATGGCCCTCCTGGCCCTCTAGGTCCGCTAGGACCACCTAATCCACTTGGTCCACCAGGGCCGAATGGACCACTTGGTCCTCTTGGTCCACTTGGGCCACGAGGCCCGCCTGGTCCACTTGGGAAGGGTCCGCTTGGGCCACTCGGTCCACTTGGGCCGCTTGGAATTCGTGCTGGTGCTTAACATGTAAAACAGAAGCATGCGATAAATATTTTTGTCAGAATGTGAATCTTTCATTCTTAATCAATACCTTAATAAAGAATAATTATCATATCGAAAAAATTAGGAAATGTGTTCAAAACTTAATTCCACTAGATCACCTGGAGCGCCAGGTCCCCTTGGTCCCCCTGGTCCTCTTGGTCCACCTGGCCCTAATGGACCACTTGGTCCTCTTGGGCCGCTTGGGCCACCTGGGCCGCTTGGTCCACTTGGGAAGGGTCCGCTTGGGCCACTTGGTCCACTTGGGAAAGGTCCGCTTGGGCCACTGGGGCCGCTTGGGTAGCGTGAAGGAGCTTAAAGGAAAACGAAACGTGAAAAAAGTTGTTAGAAATATACCTTTTTATTTCCCAGTTACTATTACTGTTTTCTATAAACACAAAAGCAGATTTAAATCAATGTTTTCCTAAATGTGAACAAAGTCAATAGCAAAAAGTTCGTAAATCTATTGGTCTCCTTTGTAAGAATCGGGATGTCTTTCCAACAGGTGTTAAATTACTTTTATATTATTCTTTGATTTACACTCACTACGTGTATTGTCATTTAGTTTGGGGCCAAACAACGATACAAAATATAACAAAACTACTGCTAACCCAAAAGATGGTTCTTCGAATTATCGCAAATGTACCCTTCTTGCACCCTTCTCGGGAGCTTTTTCTTAAATATAACGTCATTCCTATTGACCACTTGTACCAATTTCGCCTGCTGGTGATATATAATATGGCATTAAAACATAATATTTCTTTCCTTTTCGCACTGTCGGGCTTAGCAAAACTAGACCATAAATATGTCACACGTCATGGCGGAATTTGGAGCGTTTCAATACCTCGTACGAATTACGGCTTTACATCATTAAAATAGTAATTACCATCTTTACTTAATAAACTCGAAGCCAATGGTATCAGCATCTATGGGACATCAAATCGGATGTTGGCAAAAATCATATTACAGACAGCATAATTTTTACCTTTTGTGCCTGGAGTTTTTGTATCTGTGGTGAAACTTTATTCAACTTTAAAAATATTTGTTTTGATGCATTCAAGGTGAGTGCAACAATGTGAATAGTCGTTATTGTGTTTTAGTGTCCATTTTTGTGTTTTCGTTGTGTTTCCAATGCTGCTTTCCCGCCAAAGTGTGTTAGGGCGCCAGGACCTCGTAAAGCTGCAACCGCAGCTTTTTGTTCTGACGTCCTCCCTTTTTGTACCAACCAGAATGGGAAATAAAATACATTATTATTATTATTATTATAATAGATCACCTGAAGCACCAGGACCCCTTGGGCCGCTTGGTCCTCTAGGTCCGCTTGGGCCTCTGGGGCCAAATGGACCGCCTGGGCCCCTTGGTCCGCCTGGGCCTCCTGGTCCGAATGGTCCGCTTGGTCCTCTTGGTCCGCTAGGACCACCCGGTCCGCTTGGCCCACCAGGCCCGAATGGCCCACTTGGTCCTCTTGGTCCACCTGGGCCACTTGGTCCACTTGGGAAGGGTCCGCTTGGGCCACTTGGTCCGCTTGGGAAAGGTCCACTTGGGCCACTGGGGCCACTTGGATAGCGTGCAGGAGCTTAAAAAACGAAGCACAAATATGTTATGTAAGAAATAGTGCTTTTTAATGTATAATTACTGTTACTGTAGTCAATAACAAATAGGTTTAAAAATATTCTCCAAATGTAAACAAATTCAATGCACTAGATCACCTGGAGCGCCAGGACCTCTTGGCCCGCTTGGTCCTCTAGGTCCGCTTGGGCCTCCGGGGCCGAATGGGCCACCTGGGCCTCTTGGTCCGCCTGGGCCTCCTGGCCCGAACGGTCCAGTTGGTCCTCTTGGTCCGCTTGGTCCACCAGGCCCGAATGGCCCAATTGGTCCACTTGGGCCACTTGGTCCACTTGGGAAGGGTCCGCTCGGGCCACTTGGCCCGCTTGGGAAAGGTCCGCTTGGGCCACTTGGACCGCTTGGGTATCGTGCTGGAGCTAAAAATGGAGAAAGCACATCAATTCATTTCTTCGTCCTAATATGATGCTTTTATTACGAGTTCTTATACTGATATCATATAAATAATGGGTTAATAAATATTAAAAAATGTACACAAAATAAAGGCCCTTTATTACCTGGGGCACCTGGTCCCCTTGGTCCACTTGGCCCTCTTGGTCCGCTTGGGCCACTTGGTCCTCCTGGGCCTCTTGGTCCTCCTGGGCCTCCTGGTCCGAATGGTCCACTAGGTCCTCTCGGTCCACTTGGGCCACTTGGTCCTCCTGGGCCTCTTGGTCCTCCTGGGCCTCCTGGTCCGAATGGTCCACTAGGTCCTCTCGGTCCACTTGGGCCACTTGGGAATGGTCCACTTGGACCACTTGGTCCGCTTGGGAACGGTCCGCTCGGGCCACTTGGTCCACTTGGGTATCGTGCTGGAGCTAAACGCGAGAACAAAGTGGAAGAATAATTTTGTTGGTCTGGATATAGCACTTATATTACCAATTAATATGCTGGAAATAAACGCAAACGAAAAGAAAGGAAATATTTTAGGAAACCTACACAAGATAAATGCATTTTCTTTACCTGGGGCGCCTGGTCCCCTTGGTCCACTTGGTCCTCTTGGTCCGCTTGGGCCACCCGGGCCGAATGGACCACCTGGGCCTCTTGGTCCTCCTGGGCCTCCTGGTCCGAATGGTCCACTAGGTCCTCTTGGTCCGCTTGGGCCACTTGGTCCACTTGGGAATGGTCCACTTGGACCACTTGGTCCGCTTGGGAACGGTCCGCTCGGGCCACTTGGTCCGCTTGGGTATCGTGCTGGAGCTAAACGCGAGAACAAAGTGGAAGAATAATTTTGTTGGTCTATATATAGCAGTTTTATTACCATTTAATATACTGGAAATAAATGAAAACGAAAAGAAAGTAAATATCTTAGGAAATGTACACAAGATAACTGCATATTCTTTACCTGGGGCACCTGGTCCCCTTGGTCCACTTGGTCCGCTTGGGCCACCTGGGCCGAATGGACCACCTGGGCCTCTTGGTCCTCCTGGTCCGAATGGTCCACTAGGTCCTCTTGGTCCGCTTGGGCCACTTGGTCCTCTTGGTCCGCTTGGGCCACCGGGGCCGAATGGACCACTTGGGCCTCTTGGTCCTCCTGGGCCTCCTGGTCCGAATGGTCCACTAGGTCCTCTTGGTCCGCTTGGGCCACTTGGTCCACTTGGGAATGGTCCGCTTGGGCCACTTGGTCCGCTTGGGAAGGGACCGCTTGGGCCACTTGGTCCACTTGGGTATCGTGCTGGAGCTAAACGCGAGAACAAAGTGGAAGAATAATTTTGTTAGTCTGGATATAGCACTTTTATTAGCAATTAATATACTGGCAATAAATGAAAACGAAAAGAAATGAAATATATTAGGAAATCTACACAAGATTAATGCATTTTCATTACCTGGGGCACCTGGTCCCCTTGGTCCACTTGGTCCTCTTGGTCCGCTTGGGCCACTGGGGCCGAATGGACCACCTGGGCCTCTTGGTCCTCCTGGGCCTCCTGGTCCGAATGGTCCACTAGGTCCTCTTGGTCCGCTTGGGCCACTTGGTCCACTTGGGAATGGTCCGCTTGGGCCACTTGGTCCGCTTGGGAAGGGACCGCTTGGGCCACTTGGTCCACTTGGGTATCGTGCTGGAGCTAAACGCGAGAACAGTGGAAGAATAATTTTGTTAGTCTGGATATAGCACTTTTATTAGCAATTAATACACTGGAAAGAAATGAAAACGAAAAGAAAGGAAATATTTTAGGAAATCTACACGAGATTAATGCAGTTTCATTACCTGGGGCACCTGGTCCCCTTGGTCCACTTGGTCCTCTTGGTCCGCTTGGGCCACCGGGGCCGAATGGACCACCTGGGCCTCTTGGTCCTCCTGGGCCTCCTGGTCCAAATGGTCCACTAGGTCCTCTTGGTCCGCTTGGGCCACTTGGTCCACTTGGGAATGGTCCGCTTGGGCCACTTGGTCCGCTTGGGAAGGGGCCACTTGGGCCACTTGGTCCACTTGGGTATCGTGCTGGAGCGAAAAGCGAGAATAAAGTGGAAGAATAGTTTTGTTGGTCTGGATATAGCACTTTTATTACCAATTAACATACTGGAAATAAGTGAAAATGAAAAGTAAGGAAATATTTTAGGAAATGTACACAAGATTAATGCATTTTCATTACCTGGGGCACCTGGTCCCCTGGGTCCACTTGGTCCTCTTGGTCCGCTTGGGCCACCGGGGCCGAATGGTCCCCCTGGGCCTCTTGGCCCTCCTGGGCCTCCTGGTCCAAATGGTCCACTAGGTCCTCTTGGTCCACTTAGGCCACTTGGTCCACTTGGGAATGGTCCGCTTGGGCCACTTGGTCCGCTTGGGAAGGGGCCACTTGGGCCACTTGGTCCACTTGGGTATCGCGCTGGAGCTAAACGCGAAAACAAAGTGGAAGAATAATTTTGTTGGTCTGGATGTCTGTCACTTTTGTTGGTCTGGGTCTGTCACTTTTATTACCAGTTAATATACTGAAAATAAATGAAAATGAAAAGTAAGTAGATATTTTAGGAAATGTACACAAGATTAATGCATTTTATTTACCTGGGGCACCTGGTCCCCTTGGTCCACTTGGTCCTCTTGGTCCGCTTGGGCCACCGGGGCCGAATGGACCACCTGGACCTCTTGGTCCTCCTGGGCCTCCTGGTCCTGATGGACCGCCTGGGCCTCTTGGTCCTCCTGGGCCTCCGGGTCCGAATGGTCCACTAGGTCCTCTAGGTCCGCTTGGGCCACTTGGTCCACTTGGGAATGGTCCGCTTGGGCCACTTGGTCCACTTGGGAAGGGACCACTTGGCCCACTTGGTCCACTTGGGTATCGCGCTGGAGCTAAACGCGAGAACAAAGTGGAAGAATAATTGTGTTAGTCTGGATATAGCACTTTTATTACCAATTAATATACTGGAAATAAATGAAAATGAAAAGTAAGAAAATATTTTAGGAAATGTACACAAGATTAATGCATTTTCATTACCTGGGGCACCTGGTCCCCTTAGTCCACTTGGTCCGCTTGGGCCACCGGGACCGAATGGACCGCCTGGGCCTCTTGGTCCTCCTGGGCCTCCTGGTCCTAATGGACCACCTGGGCCTCTTGGTCCTGCTGGGCCTCCTGGTCCGAAAGGCCCACTAGGTCCTCTTGGTCCGCTTGGGCCAGTTGGTCCACTTGGGAAGGGTCCGCTTGGGCCGCTAGGGCCGCTTGGGTATCGTGATGGAGCTAGAATGAGAACAAAGCGCGCGAATAATCTTGTTGGTCGGAACAGACTACATTCATTACCAGTTAACATGCTTGAAATAAATGAAAACGATAGATCAATTAACATTAGCGATTGTACACAAGGTGAACGCCATAAACTTACTTGGGGCGCCTGGTCCCCTTGGTCCACTTGGTCCTCTTGGTCCGCTTGGGCCACCGGGGCCGAATGGACCACCTGGGCCTCTTGGTCCTCCTGTTCCGAACGGACCACCTGGGCCTCTTGGTCCTCCTAGGCCTCCCGGTCCACTTGGTCCTCTTGGTCCGCCTGGTCCGCTTGGTCCACTTGGGAAGGGTCCGCTTGGGCCACTTGGTCCGCTTGGGAAGGGTCCGCTTGGGCCACTAGGACCGCTTGGGTATCGTGCTGGAGCTAAAAGGAAGAACAAAGCTGAAATAAGTTTGTTGGTCCGAATAGGGCCCTTTTATTACTAATTAAATATGCAAAATGAACGAAAACGATAAGAAATAAATATCACATGATACTTTGTTGGTATCGTGTCACATAAATTGTACGAGTGCAATGACTGCGTTACAAACAAACGCTACACGGTTGATAAACTCGTTCAATTCTAGCTTTATGAAAGTAAACACACATAAAACAAAACTTGTGTGTTTCTGTAGTCTCCTTAAACACAAGGCTCTTGATACTCCTTTTCTTCTGCACTCATCGAGCTGTCTTGATTGTAGATGTGTACTCATAAACCATGTTAGTACAACCAAGTATTTCGGAATACTCTTTGATAGTGATCTCTCCGGGAATTCCCATCTTTGTCATATTGCTAAAAAACTATGTAGTGATTCATGTTTGTTTTATTCAACAAAAATATTTTTGCCTTTCACAGCCCGAAAAATGATAGCAAATGCTCTGGCTTATGGTGTGCTGCGCTACGGTATTACTCTGCATGCTAACTGTTCCTTGGGTTGGCAAAACAAAATTGACAGTATTCTAAAAGGAATTTTGAAATCTGTAGCATACGGTACCAACATCCCATCTGACAATCTCTTCCTTTTTTTACATCTCCCTCGTTTTGCAGCACTCTTCGAGAGATGTGTCAGAGAAAAGCATTACTGAAATAGTCCTTTCAAAATTTCACGTACAACTCAGCGTTCACTAAGGGACAGGGAACATTTTGCGATCCCCAGAGTATACACTAAATATGGAAAAAGAGAGCGGTCATTTTATGTTGCTGATATATTTAACAAATTGACAGCACTACTTCGTAATATAAACTCAAAACGAGAGTTAAAAAATTTCTGAGTACAAAGTGTTAGTCATCGTTACTGTGCTACCTCATTTTATTGTATTGGCTCTTTTCTGCTGCGTTGTCAGTATTAGAAATGTTTACATTTTGTTTTCGTGCATTCGATGTGTGTTGTAGTTTCTTTTGTCGTTGTTGTGATGTATGTTTACATTCCGATTTCCTGTGTTGTTTTTCTTTTACGCCGTTGCCGGGTCACGTCCCACAATCTATTAAGGCCTGGACGGACCTGTTACCACTGATTTGTATTTCAAGACTATCAATAAAAATTAATATTATTATTATTATTGTTATTATTATTATTATTATTATTATTATTACATAAAATCTACACAAGATGAATGCCACTAGATTACCTGGGGCACCTGGTCCTCTTGGTCCACTTGGGCCACCAGGACCGAATAAACCACCTGGGCCCCTTGGTCCTCCTGGGCCTCCTGCTCCTAATGGTCCACTTGGTCCTCTTGGTCCGCTTGGACCACTTGGTCCGCTTGGGTAAGGTCCGCTTGGGCCGCTTGGTCCGCTAGGGAAGGGTCCGCTTGGCCCACTAGGACCACTTGGGTATCGTGCAGGAGCTAAAAGAAAACACCAAGCGCTCAAAAAATTATTGGTCACAATCTGATACTTTTATCGGGCAATTTGAATAAAATTGATGTAAGCCATATATAAATCAAAATTCTAGGAAACGTAAACGAAATGAACGTCAATAGGTCACCTGGAGCGCCAGGTCCCCTAGGTCCGCTTGGTCCTCCTGGTCCGCTTGGGCCACCGGGGCCGAATGGACCACTTGGGCCTCTTGGTCCCCCTGGGCCTCCTGGTCCGAATGCACCACCTGGGCCTCTTGGTCCTCCTGGTCCAAATGGCCCGCTTGGTCCTCTTGGTCCACTGGGGCCACCTGGGCCGCTTGGTCCACTGGGGCCACCTGGGCCGCTTGGTCCACTTGGGAAGGGTCCGCTTGGGCCGCTCGGTCCGCTTGGGAAGGGACCACTTGGGCCACTTGGTCCACTTGGGTAGCGTGCTGGAGCTTTAAGAGAGAGTCAAAACGCAGCTGTATAAGACGTGATTGGAGAGAATCTAGAGTTGTTTTTTTCTCATCCAAAATATAGTAACAAAATGTGGCGCATGGGCACGGCATCTTCGCATCTTCAAGTATGTAGTATCATATTTCTAAGGTCAATGTTGTAAAACCAAACGACAGCTCGATTTTAAGAAGCTGAAAATGTTTTTGTAGTCGGAAAAAGAGTGAAAGTTTGTGGGTCCCTTAACTCCATGTGTGTAAAATCAGTCTGAAGTGCACCGTAATCCCGGTCATTGCTGCGTGCCTAGCGAAGGGAGCAGGAGAGTTAAAAAATAAAAGTGGCGGAAATGACGTCATCGGAGGAATAAGATGACTCTTGCTTCCCACGCTGGCTCAGAAGTGCCTACAATGTCGTCTCGACCTCTAGGGCAGATAGCAGGCAGCATCAAGCCTCGCCAAGAGGCCTTGCGGCTTGCGGCGAGCCTCGCCCTATAAAAATAAACGCAGTTTACATTTACATTTGCCAAATATATCTGCTGTAATCAAATTCATGAGACAAAAAACACTACAAAAGGTTGCTGGCGACTCACTTTTTTCTAAAATTGCTTCAGGTTCTCGTTAACTGTTCCATTTCATTGAACCACCTCACTAGCATTGTGAATGTCTAGCAGTCGATCTGTTGGTGTACGTTTTTTTAGACACAGTGGCAACCAATGGGTTATTCTTATTGTAAACTTATTTTTGCGCGAAGCAAACGCGTTCAACCTCAATCCCCACAAACACAAGTTTGGTTGCCATTTTCCTTAAGCGCAAGTCATTTTGCGATGTGATTCGCACTCCTCACCCCTGGAACACTCCACACTTATTTCATCGCGGAATAAAAACAAAAAAAAAAAACATACTATTACGGTGCTGATGATATTTTAATTGACGAAATGGCCATTTTACATTTGATTCTAAACTCATAAGTAAAAAATCGCTTCGCAGGTATGGAGTCTCAAACATAGCCTTAGAAATATGCAGAATGGTCGAAAATAATCCCCAGAGAATAGGAACAAGAAGGACAAAGGACAAACACAAATCTCCGAACACAGCTAGATGACTGGTGCGCGACCGAAAAAATCCGCCTAGTCCGGTTTCGGTCGCGCACCAGTCACCTGCCTGTCTTTGGAGATTTGTGTTTGTCCTTTGTCCCTCTTGCTCTCCTTCTCTAGGGATTATTTACGTCATTCTTGTTCAGCTCGCTTGCACCTCTGCATATAATTGCATTATAATAATCCAGAAGTTTGTTCTCTTTACATAGCCGCTATAAAATTCGCTATTTGCGGCAGTCTTCCTTGTGACTGAAATTCAGGAAAGAGAGTTCCGATACCAAAAACGGGAGAAGGAACAAAAATATAAAACAATCGTCCAGTCTCACTCAGAAGTACCAGTTGTACGTAAAATTTTTGACCACGTCATCTCGAAACACAGTATAACATTTTTTGAGGAAAATAATCTTATAGGAAATAATCAGTATGATTTTAGGCGAGGTCGCCCAACAGTTACACAACTAATTGATGAATTCTACGACCTAAGTTCATGGGTCAACAAGAGCGAAAGAATAAATGTTATGCTCTCGGATTTTGCCAAGGCATTTTATCGCTTTTATCTCCCAAAGCTACTTCATAAACTCAAATATATTCTTAACAGTCATAAAATTATGACCTGGCTTGGAGCTTATCTGGTTGGTAGAGAGCAGTTCGAGCAATTGAATAGTGTCAGGCAACTTATTTGTGATATCAGGAGTGCCTTGGGGTCTGTTCCTGGACCGCTTATATTAATCCTATATATCAGTAATATGAACCGAGAATTTCAAGATGGTGTAAAAATTGAACATCTGCCGATAATACAATTACTGTATATATTTTGAAATACAAACATCTAAATAAAAAGAAATTAAGTGAGCATTTATAGAAATTGCCAAGCTGGAAGAAAGAAGGGAAAATGCAAATAAATAAAAACGAAAGCATATACTTGAACACAGCTCGAAACAAAGTAGCAGCACAGTTCAGGTATGGCGTTGGAGCCATGCCTTTGAAATGTGTACAGGAGTACAAATATCTGTGCTCTTTTGAAATCGAGTCTGAACTGGAATACACATAAAACTGCTTCCAATAAAGCGCTAAAAATTAGGAGGCTTAGTCGGAACTTTGAATTTGGCTGTCCAGTGCTTTCAATAACGTCATTTAAGTCACTGATATTACCAAAAATTGAATATGCTAGCCCAATTTGGAAACCATACACGCAGCCAAAAGTAGAAAAAAAATAGAATTAAGACGAAGTAAAGTTGTCAGATTTATTTCCAATCGCTATCGATCCACAGACCGTCTCTCTACTGAAGTCCGATGCGAACCTTCTGCCCATAAGTACCAGTCCGATGTTGACTTGAATGAAATTAATTTTGAAATTGTTACATGGTCATTACATTATTGATATTCCGAACAAATGTTACATATGCGAACTTTGATAACGCAACTAGAACGAAACATAACAAATTTATCATGGCTATTTAAGACAAACTCTTTGGGAAACTTTTTTTAATGTATCGACGAATGCCTATTCACGAACACCGTTAATAATGATAACGTGCGTTTTTTATAACATTATAATACTTCAGTGTGCTTCTACTTTAAAATGCCAACCAACCTGCTTTGGCCTCATGACTGGCAGTATGTTAAGATAATAAAATTGAAAATAACTTGTTTTGTAGATACGAAACACTTCAAGCACCATTCTGTAAACGAAATTGACAAACTTAGTTTACCTGGAGCTCTTGGCCCACTTGGGCCTCTTGGTCCGCTTGGGCCACCAGGTCCACTTGGTCCACCAGGTCCGAATGGTCCGCTCGGTCCTCGTGGGCCACTAGGTCCTCCTGGTCCGCTTGGACCACGTGGTCCACCTGGGCCGCCAGGACCGAATGGTCCGCTCGGGCCACCCGGCCCACTAGGTCCGAATGTTCCGCTTGGTCCCCTTGGCCCGCCTGGACCACCAGGTCCGAATGGTCCGCTTGGTCCTCTTGGTCCACTTGGGAAGGGTCCGCTTGGTCCGCTTGGTCCGCTTGGATACTTTGCGGGTGCTTGAGAAATAGAAGGATTACGCTCATTAGGGTCGTTGGTGACCTTCGTATGTGCACAGAAAGCGTTTTTATAACCTTAAAGAAGGGAATAACATACTTAGGTCACAACAGCGGGTGTTATAATACGCACAGATTTACGATGTTTCGCAAAACTCAAGCTTATCCAAATTTTTCATTTGTTTTTCGCCTTTACAAAAATTTACACGCGAAAACCTAAGCAATGCTAGAATGGAACGCATGAAAGAATCCTTTCATGCGCGGGCGTATCTAATATAAAGGGAACTACAATTGCATGCATACTAATGACAAATATCTACATTCTTCCTCAAAACAATTTTTAAACAGTTGTTTTTTTGCCGAATCATTCCATGGAGCCAGCAACGTGGAAAGCATTTAAAAACTTTGGGCGCTCGCCGCCTATTATCAACGTAGGATAACAAAGAAGGCGAACAAATGCGCTGTGAGAACATAACTAATAGTATTATCAATAAATAAACACGATCTAATTGATATCTACAATTAACACTTCAGCATGTTACATTTACTCGAAAAGCGAAAATAAGCTGTAAGGTGGGGTGGGGTGCGGAATCTGAAATAAAAAAAAAGACATGTCTTATAATGAAATTAATAATATAGTGAGCACTAAGTATTATCCCTACTTTCTACTTGTAAAAGTTCTGAGCCGAAAAAAAAATGTGTTTGAACTGGCTTCTAAACGCTGGACGTCATGAAGTGAATATGCGGTGAAGAAGCGACGAACTTCATGGGGCGGCACGCTCGCATTGGGCGCGGAGCAACATACACTGTTTGATGGTACCCGCGGAGCGAACGCCGTGGGACGAAATTCGTCGCTTGTTCTCAGCGTACTCTCTCTGTGGAATCCAGCCTTTGTGAGGGGTAATGTGAATCATAATTGTTCACTACAAGAGAGTTTTCTTTCGTTTCAGAGTACCTTTCATGCTTATTATTAGGTATGAGCATGCAAGTCATAATACAGTGTTGAGTAAAGCAGGGCGAATAACTGTTTATCCGTGAATGACGAAACTTTCCTCACAATCGTATTAACTTGGCATGAAAAATGCAATACTTGTGATTCGTTTCACCGAGTTGCAACAAAAAAGGTAAAAATTTAAACTAAAACTTGAGCTGGTTGGTGGAACCTGATCCCTTTCCTTCTTCCTCATTTCTCTGATAGAAGAAAGAGCCATGAATCTTCAATTGTTTTTTTGGTTCTAGTTTCGAAAGCAGGCGACTGAAACACGAAAATTGATGGATGACATTTCTAAAACTTTGTAAATTTATGTGCTTTCTAATCCTAAACTTGTCAATACCCAATTTTCGTCAATTTTCGTTACTTTAAGTAGTGACTCAAATTCCGTTAATTTAAATAGTTAACTAATTTTAGTTAATCAGTCAACTTACCATACCGGTTATTTTCTCATCTAGTTCCCACTGAGCCTGCTCAATTAATTGTGAATGCGGCACCCGTGTAACGTTTATAATTGTTTTTAATCTCTTGAAAATCAATTCAAATAACTTGTATGGATTGTGTATTAGTTTTAACTTGATACTACAGGTTTACTGCGCTCCAAATTACACCATAATGAACAGAATGAAGCAACTCGAAGCGACTTCATTAGGTGCCGCATTCTTGCACCTTTCACTTGGTACGCATAGGCTAAGGCTTCACTTCGAATTTTATATTTTCCTCTCAAGACGTCGTTTGGATACCAGTTTTAGTTCTCTTAAATGAACAGCCGCATTGATCAGTGCTTTATATAAGACTAGATATAAAAATCGTCATAAGAAGTTCCCATTTTAATATATATATATATATATATATATATATATATATATATATATATATTGAACCGAGAAGAAAAAACCCTTGGTGAAAACAGCAACGGACGATTTATAGATGAATAAATCGTCCGTTGTTGCTGTTTTCACCAAGCGATTTTTCTTCTCAGTTATATACCCACGCCTTCGGCCTCCCGCCACCATGCGCGTTATATATATATATATATATATATATATATATATATATATATATATATATATTATCAGTATAAGGGTAAGCTAAACATATTTCCATCAATCTAAGGTTATGCTTAATATTATAATAGATTACCTGGGGCACCTGGCCCACGTGGACCACTGGGGCCGCCGGGTCCACCTGGTCCTCTTGGTCCGCCGAGACCACTTGGTCCAAAAGGTCCCCCTAACAAGTTTAGAGTTCACCAACATTTAAAAATAATGCAAAAAGGAACAAAAACAGCTCAATTGGTAGGCGTCAAAGAAGAAAGGTTGTAATCAAATCAGAAAGGAATGATTGCCTGAAATGCAACGTCGTCTATTGGTTTTATTTAAAAAAGAAAATTAATTGTAGTGTATTGATGTTGTCAATTATCATCACGCTGTAACAATTAGTCTCTTCAACCATTCCAATTTGTCGTTTCCTTGTAGCAGAATAAACAAGAACTGCCGTCCACAAAAAACGCAAGTAAAAATGTAGGAGTGTAAAAGTACCTGGTCCTTTTGTTCCACTTGGAAGACTTGGTAGGCGTGGTGCTGTGGGGAGCTTCAACCCTGGCGCTAGTGGCCCACCGAGCTGAGAAACTCCGAACTGCAGTGTGACGGGGCTGACGCTTGTGATTCCACTAGGAGGAATGAGGAAAGTCGATGGGCCGCCAAAGCCACGGACGCCGGAGACGACTGGAAGACGTGGACCCCCTAGCGAAATGGTCAGTCCAGGGCCACCTGGTCCACTCGGGAGTCGAGGGAATCCAAGAGTGGCTGGTCCTCTTGGAGCGCCGGGACCACTAGGGAAACGTGGCACGCCCAGAGCACTTGGTCCACCTGGGCCGACTGGAAGACGTGGGGCTCCGGTAACTCCTGAAGCTCCAGGCAGTGTAGGCACGCGTGTTACAGTTGGGAAGGCAGGAACTCCTGGCACCGCGCCAGGAAGAGGAAGGTAGCTGGGTGGTTTTCTAGCAGGCTTCGGGCCGCTTGGGCCTCGTGGGCCACCTGGCCCACTTGGTCCGCTTGGGCCACCAGGTCCGAATGGTCCCCCTGGACCACCTGGGCCACTTGGGCCTCCTGGTCCTCTCGGTGCGCTTGGTCCTCGTGGACCGCTTGGCCCACTTGGCCCACTTGGGAATGGTCCGCTTGGCCCACTTGGTCCACTGGGGAACGGTCCGCTTGGACCGCTTGGTCCACTTGGGTAACGTGATGGAGCTTGGAAGAAATGGCGAACGTAATTTGTAATAAACATAAGTGTATAACCCCATTTAATTCTGTCTTAAGGTTTTTCAGCAAGTCGAATATCACAATATATTAGTTTTCTATTCAGAAAGAGTTTTAATAGTGAAAATAATAATATTTTTAGTTGTAAACAAGAAAGGTACAGAATCAGGCCTGCCAAAGCCACATCGGGCTTCTCTGGCAGAGCCTGGCAGTTAGTGAGACAAAACCGCACAGATATAGTCAGCAAATATAAGACACACAAACAAAAACATAACATGGATTAAAAAAAAATTATAAACCAATACTTCTCTAGGCTTCTTTAAGCTTTTACTTTGTTTTATATTATGAACTGCAAAAGGAAGTTTGTTGAAGATTACTGGCACATAATACTTGCGAATTCGTTTTCCAAAGTTTTTTTAACATCGAGGTGTACAATCAGGGTCTTTGGGTCTAAGATAACCAGTCTTGGGCAGTAACGCGTTGCTAGTAACGCGTTACAGTAACTTCGTTACTTTTTTGGTAACTTGTAACTGTAACGAGTTACTTTAAAAAATGTAACTTGTAACTGTAGTTCTATTACTTTTTCTCAGGTAAGGATGAAAGTAACGACGTTTCTTTTGTCGTTACTTCCCAGTTTTTTACGAATAATATATTATTGAACGAGTACAATGTAGCTAAACCCCTTGAACTTTCCAAATCGCCTGTTCCGACATTATGAGTATCAAGTTGACCTTGCAAAAACTTGTAAGTACGTTCTTTCTCGCGAGTCACGACCTGAGTATAGTCACGTGTAGATGTGATGAGATCTTCACGCACGCGCTTATACCTTGTGAGTGAACACTTACATTTTAGTATCTGAAGCACTTTCTATGTTGAGGTTGTTCTTTTTTCTGCGCAAACGCACTTTAATCGGGTGGATCGACCGTGAAGCAACAATACACACGGACGCCACTGCGAATATTTCGTATTTTGATTTCCGCCACTACTCCGGCGTGGTGTCAACAGTCGAGGCAAAATTTTCTGTTGTTTGCGCGGGGTTTGCTTGTTGCCCTGGTTGCGCGGGTTCTGTTCAACAAAAGCAGGGACGTGTTCGCCATCAAACGAGGGAAACTTTCAGACTCTAATTTGGAGAAGCAACTGCTGCTAAGTTACAATATGAAGTAAAAAATCATACTTTTTAATTTTATGCTATAAAACTTGTTGAGAGGCGTTTTCTAAAGTTTCCTATATTTTTTGTGCTATAGAAATGTAACTGAAAAAAGACGTTGTTACTTTTTAAAAGTAACTTTAACTGTAACGAGTTACTCTTTTGTCGCAGTAACAGTAACGGTAACTTCGCTACTTTTATGTGAAAGTAACTAACTGAAACGAATTACTTTTTGAAAGTAGCTTACCCAAGACTGTAGATATCGCACGGAATATACGCGGTTTAAAAATTGCCTAGCCCAATAGTGCCTGTGGACAATACTTCACAGGCACTATTGGCATAGGCACTATTTCTTCGACCTTAACCTCACATGGAACGTTAAATTGTCACAATTCAATAATATTGCAGTTGAAACAGTCAAAACTGATCAAAATGCATGTAAATGAAGTACCTGGGGCACCTGGTCCCCTGGGACCGCTTGGGCCTCCTGGCCCAAACGGTCCGCTCGGTCCTCTTGGTCCGCCTGGTCCGCTTGGTCCACCAGGTCCGCTTGGACCACCAGGTCCGAATGGTCCGCTTGGTCCTCGCGGACCACTTGGGCCAGCAGGCCCGAATGGTCCACTCGGTCCTCTCGGCCCGCCAAGACCACTTGGCCCGCTTGGGAATGGTCCGCTTGGGCCACTTGGTCCACTTGGGAATGGTCCACTTGGTCCCCGTGGACCGCTCGGGCCTCGTGGCCCACCTGGACCACTAGGTCCCCTCGGCCCGCCCGGTCCACCAGGCCCGCTTGGTCCCCGTGGGCCACTTGGGCCGCCGGGTCCGAATGGTCCGCCTGGTCCCCTTGGCCCGCCAGGACCACTTGGTCCACTTGGGAATGGTCCGCTTGGGCCACTTGGTCCACTTGGGAATGGTCCGCTTGGTCCCCGTGGGCCGCTGGGGCCTCCTGGCCCACCTGGACCACTAGGTCCCCTTGGTCCACCTGGTCCACCAGGTCCGAATGGTCCGCTTGGGCCTCTCGGTCCACCTGGTCCACCAGGTCCGCTTGGTCCCCGTGGGCCACTTGGGCCGCCGGGTCCGAATGGTCCGCTTGGACCACTTGGTCCACTAGGTCCGAATGGTCCGCTTGGTCCGCGTGGACCACTTGGGCCACCAGGTCCGAATGGCCCACTTGGTCCTCTTGGTCCGCCAGGTCCACTTGGTCCGCTTGGGAATGGTCCACTTGGACCACTTGGTCCACTTGGGAATGGTCCACTTGGACCGCTTGGTCCGCTTGGGTAACGAGCGGGAGCTTGAAGGGGAACATGACAATTGGGATATGTAATTATCAAAATTGTATAATGTAATTTAATCCTGTTGTGCAATTCAGATATTATGACAATAATGTTTTTCATCGAGGAACAGTTCACTTATCTTCACCTTCATAATAAAGATTTACCTGTCTTATTTTCGGAATTGCGTGGTTAATACAATCAAAGCGCTGGCAAAATCAAAAAATACCTGGAGCACCTGGTCCCCGAGGTCCGCTTGGGCCGCCTGGTCCGAATGGTCCGCTTGGTCCTCTTGGTCCGCCCAGTCCACTAGGTCCGAGAGGTCCACTTGGTCCCCGCGGGCCACTTGGACCGCCGGGTCCGAAGGGTCCGCTGGGCCCCCGTGGGCCACTGGGACCACCAGGTCCGAGTGGTCCTCCAGGTCCTCTTGGTCCGCCGGGAGCACTTGGTCCACTTGGACCGCGTGGTCCACTTGGGTAACTTGCGAGAGCTTGGAGGGAATGAATGGCATGACAATAGTGCTATGCAATTGTCAGAATTGCAAGACCTGATATTACTGTCATGTGTAATTCTAGTAAGTTAGATATTAGTACAATACTAGATTGACATCAAGAAAGTTCGATTTTAACTTACTCTTGATATTTGTCCCACTTTTGAAAAATTTCAGTCAGTACAAATAATATTGTCTACGAAATTCATATGAAGAGTGTACCTGCAGCACCTGGTCCTCTTGGTCCGCCTGGTCCTCCAGGCCCGAATGGTCCGCTTGGTCCTCTTGGCCCGCTTGGTCCACTAGGTCCGAATGGTCCGCTGGGTCCCCGTGGACCGCTAGGACCACTTGGGCCACTAGGTCCTCTTGGTCCGCCTGGTCCACCAGGCCCGAATGGTCCGCTAGGTCCTCTTGGTCCGCCAGGTCCACTTGGCCCACTTGGGAATGGTCCGCCAGGACCTCTTGGTCCACTCGGGAATGGTCCGCTTGGGCCGCTTGGGCCGCTTGGTCCACTTGGGTAACGTGCAGCAGCTTGGAGGGAACACATTATAATTGTGATACGTAACATTCAGAGTTAATTTCCCTAAGTTAATCTTGTCTGGTTTAATAAGAGTGACTCAAATATTACAATATTTCGATTCCATCGAGAAATAGTCAAGTTTTACATGATCTTTACATTGCTGCTTTCTCTGTTCTATTTCTGAAAATTATCAGTTGGCATAATCAAGACTGGGGTTAAGATTCTTGTAAATAAAGTACCTGGAGCACCTAGTCCTCTAGGTCCGCTTGGTCCCCGTGGACCACTTGGGCCTCCGGGGCCAAATGGTCCACTTGGACCTCGTGGTCCACCTGGACCACCAGGTCCAAATGGTCCGCTTGGTCCCCGTGGACCGCTTGGACCGCCTGGTCCGCTTGGTCCTCTTGGTCCACCTGGTCCACTTGGGCCTCCGGGGCCGAATGGACCGCTTGGACCACGTGGTCCACTTGGGCCACCTGGCGCACTTGGTCCTCTTGGTCCACCTGGACCGCTAGGTCCGAAAGGTCCGCTTGGTCCTCTTGGTCCACCTGGACCACTGGGTCCAAATGGTCCCCTTGGTCCACTTGGGTAAAGTGCTGGAGCTTGAAGAAAAGAAAAAAATCTGTACTTATTCAGTGTTGTGTCAGCATTGTAACAGGTTTACTAAAGTTAATTGTGCATTTTCATACCAACACGATGAGTCAAACCTTGCCACAAGAATGATGTTTCTCTGGAGAGATACACTACTTAGCACTTAAAGTAAATGTTTTACACACTCCAGGTTTTATATGCCAAAACCACATCAACAAGGTATACATATTAAGTACCTGGTGCGCCTGGTCCTCTGGGCCCACTTGGGCCACCTGGTCCACCTGGGCCGCCCGGACCAAACGGTCCACTTGGTCCTCTTGGCCCACCAGGTCCGCTTGGTCCTCTTGGTCCACCAGGTCCACTTGGGCCACCTGGTCCGAAGGGTCCGCTTGGTCCTCTTTGTCCACCAGGTCCACTTGGGCCACCTGGTCCAAATGGTCCGCTGGGTCCTCTTGGTCCACCAGGTCCACTTGGGCCTCCTGGTCCACTTGGTCCACCCGGTCCGAGTGGTCCGCTGGGTCCTCTTGGTCCACCAGGTCCACTTGGGCCCCCTGGTCCAAATGGTCCACTTGGTCCTCTTGGTCCACCTGGTCCGAATGGTCCGCTTGGTCCGCTTGGTCCCCTTAGTCCACCAGGTCCACTTGGGCCACCTGGTCCACTTGGTCTACTTGGTCCGAATGGTCCGCTTGGTCCTCTTGGTCCACCAGGTCCAAATGGTCCACTTGGGCCAGCAGGACCACTTAGGAAGCCTGAAAAGCAGAAAAGATTGTTACTGTTGGCCAGTCTAAAGCACCAACCATAAAGTAATATAAAATATACGTGTGTATTACCTAACCTAACACGATCAACTGATCTGTGTTCAATAAAAATATAATATTGTTTGCGATATTAATATTTGAACATTATCTGTAAGAGCTGTGCTTGATGTGATCATCTCCTGTACTGACTTGAATAATATATAAACAAACTTGACACACAATAGCAAAGCTGTTTGTTAGAATTGAGTGTTCAATTAACGGAGCTCCTGAAGGGTTCATGCGCTTCATAAGGATGTGTGTACATTATGACATCTATGATACACTGTGCATTAGGATATACACTCTTAAGGGGAAACGTATGTGTACTATTTTAGAATATTTTGAGGCTCAGTAAAGGATTTCAATATTAAATATAAAAGTGATTTCCTTATTGGTCGTTTTTATCAATTATGTTTATAAAATATTCCACAATATCTAGACATTGACTTGTCTGAAATGCGAAGATGTAAAAGTGTTATAACATTCACGTGATGCTTTGTGATTTTTTATACTCTGAGTAGAAATAGACGTTTTGTTTGATAAGCTTTATAATATCACATTTCGCATTTTACTTTCATTAAAGCACTTTTTAGGGTATATTCAGGTGGAACGATGTTTTTAGAATATTAACCATGATACAGGATGAAAGAGCCATGAAAAGAGATTTTAAAAGCAGCATTTAGAATTCACGTATCTAACTCAACCTTTAGCTTCACTTGGAATAGAAAGTGAATGAAATGAAGTATTAAGTAATCTCTCAAGCACAAATTGGTGTCTGACCTCTAGTTTTTCTACATAACATGTTACCATCGCTTTCCAAGAATTGTGATTACAACCTCCTCAGAATTAGCCTTAACCTTGGCAGAAAGACCATGTCGTAAACGATTGATTAGATTTCATTGCAATGTTATGGCTTAAGATTATTTCTCCGCTATTCCTATCTGCACGCTTTTTGTTTCATGTAACTGTTCTCAAATTAAGACTTCAATGAGCTTATTTACACCAATGTTTGTAATTTGTTTATTTCCAAACATTTGAATGATTCATTTTTCTTTCATTACCCTAAAAAAATCACTAACTTGATTGTTTAATTAAAAAAAATGGCTTGTTTCGGTGCTGTTATATCTTGAAAATTTTACCTCTGGTATATGATGGGCATTTTGTCTTAATCAATTTCAAAATATAAGATAAAGGTATATTTATACTTCAATTTCTGGCTGTTTCTTAAACGAGGGAAGGATAGGCCATATGGCAACTTTGCACCATTCATGGTTTGTTTCTTTGTGTACCGTGTATTCGAAGGTTGTGTACTATATAACAATTAAAAGAATTCTGTAAACCAGGAACGCTTGGTAAAGGAGCATGTTCCAAGGATCGAAATAATGTGCAGTAGAAACGTGAAATCCCTTGTGGACGAAAAAGCAGATGTTCAAAAGCGATGCCCAAGAGTTCTTTCCATATCCTTGATGCTTGTCTTTTCCCATGGGAATGACGCCAGTGTAGGAAGGGATGCATACGTATTCCACTTGGCATCCGCTCTTAAGGACCGGAAGCAATAAGATGTTTTGCCTTCATGGACAATCGTTGCATATGGCCGGTGTTTCTTATGAAGATGGAACGATGATAGTTATGGAAACGGGGTGTGCCTTCGTACACGTAGGCGAGTTTGTCAATGGACGTGGTGTGCACAGAGCCCAGATGAACACAACTGATCTTCACCTACGCAGTCTTCGTACAATTTGGCATAAAATAATACTGGAAAGCAATCATTCAACATCCCTGTTTTGTTGCGTACCAGGTTGCGTTCTTGGTCCAAGGACGTTTTGACCGGGAAGATGCGGAGCAAGGCCAGGGCTTGGTGATTGATAAGTTGGTTTTCGCAAACCAAACGGCTGTCCTTGAGTCTTCAGCGAAATGGGTGCAACACCACCAGTTCGTCCGGGAACCAGGAGGCTTACGGGGAGCGTGGGACCACCAATCGGCGTCGAAAGCACTGTCTGCCCCTTGGCCGACGGTTGCCTTCCGGTAGTTTGGGGTGTCTCAGCAAGACGAAGAGGGTGCGTAGGAGGAAGGGCTTGGCGAATCAAGTGATAGAAGGGGTACTCGTCGCAAGGAGGACCCTCGCCAATTTGACTGCCAGGGGGTCTCTTGGGCTTCAGAAGATCATCGGGGAAAAGTTTGGCGGGTGTCGGCCCCGCAGGAGAGACTCCCTTCGATGCTTTCGGAGCAACGTCTTCTTCGGGGGAAGCACCTTCGAGCGTAAAAGACGTCCCAAAAAGTAAAGTCTGCTTCGGTTTTTTGAGGCTACCGGCTTCCAGATAAGGAAGTTTTAAGACGTGAAGAGGAGGAAACACCGTATGGTCGACTTTGGGTATGACTCCCAGACGTTCCCCCGCTGATGCAGAGGACGGGGAAGCGGCACCTGTAAGCGACGGCAATACTTTTCTCTCTTGCTATCTAATGTTAGTAGTACCTATATATTTAACGCGGTCAAACGTGAAAGGAGCAACACCAAACAATAAAATCGAGTTTTTAGCTCGTATAAATGTTTTGTCTATATGAAGAAAAGGGGTTCCCTCCCCACGACGTACTCGCAGTCACTTCCTGGAAGCTAGCCTATCTAGGTGTTCAGGGTTTCCGTTTTTTTTTTTTTTTTTTTTTTTTTGAGCTCGGTTCTAGATTGACGTTATATTGACTAAACCGTAAATGAAACCGCGCTGGAGAAGGGATTTGCATCATAGCGAAACTCAACGAGCGAGGCAGGCGGAATGCTGCATAGGTAACGTTATCAATAGAGTGTAACAGTTGCAAACCTTGAGGTGCTGTCGGGGGCGATGGCTTCCTTCCTCCGAACGCTGGCAATCCTGGTTTTCCGGAAACTAGTGGTGTTGCTCCGAGGAATCCTGGCGCTCCTGGCAATGGTACTTTGCCGGTCGAAAAGATGCCGAAGGGTTGCTGAAGGGAGACTACTCCGCCAGGAGAGATGACGCGAGTGGTGAGGCCAGACACCGTGGAAACTGTCCCCGGGAGCAGAACATGTTGCTGTGTAATGCCAGGCAGCTGCTGGCCGACGAGCGTGGGCCCTTGGATGGTTAGCTTTTGACCGATGAGCGAGACGTCGTCCTTTGAGGCAAAGCAGCCACAGTCTTCAATGACGCTCTTGGGCATAAGTACCCTGTTGACGAGGTGAATGACTCCGTTGGTGGCACCTTCGTCGTAGTTAACAAACGGGACACCGTCAATGAAGATTTGACCTGTAACGAGACAAGCGATTTATAAGTGCATGTGGAGACTACATGCAGTGAGCGCTTAATCACAGCGTTTGTTTTCTTGTTTCCACGAGTCATTGTGGGCATTGCACACCATTCCAGGATAACTTGGCAAGCGGCAGCGTCCACGGACCGAGTGAGCTAATCTGAGTGGCGAAGTGAGGCACGTTACAACCTACTGTCGGAGTGCACTCCTCTTGATGAGAGGTATCACGTAGCATTCCGCCTTTGCCAAATTGTACTGAAACCGAGTGCAGTAATATGTAGTTCATTTTCGCTAATATTTTGATGCTATTATTAACTTATTGGAAAGGAGGGGCGGGCGAGCGTAACATAAAAGTATAAGAGACAACTTTTGCGGATAACCTTGTTTGGTGGTATTTCTTTTATATTCCAGGCAGAAGTTTTTCTGCTTTTGAATGTTTGTTTTATGTCTGATCAGATCTTTGATAGTGTGTCTTTTATAAAAGCGAATACTTTTGCGATACTTGTTCAAGCTACCGTTTTTATATTTTATTTTTACCGCATTTACACTGCTGACTTGTTATGGTGGCGAGGCCCGTTAAGCAGTGGACGACACTGCTTTTTTCCTCGCCACCCTCAGTTTGTGTTTCAAGCTGAAATAAACGCTGATTGATTGTTTAGCCATTCGCGGAAGGCCATTCGCGCGCAGTTTACAAGAACAATTGCATCACAAATACAGCGTGTTACAGATTCCTTCGTTAGTGCTAACGAACAGATTTGATTTTCTTTTGCCCCAGGAACAATTTTGTGAACTTTGCTGTTATCAGCCTTGACTGTTGCGTGTTTGCAAAATAGTTAAGCGAACTTTGTTGAAAACGTACCGGCTTGGGTTGTGACACGCATGACTTCGCCGTCGAGCGGCGTGAGTGTGGCTCCATCCTTGAAGACGCCGCTGAATTGGAGTCCAGGAACAATGTGGTGGGAGAGAACTCCTGAGAGACAAAGAGAACAATGAAGTCAACAAGGTTTATGATTGTATGATTGACTATTTGGTTGCTTACACGTTGGGATTCTAAGGAACGACCTAGTTAGTTCATTTTAAGGTAAATAACATCTATGACATATCTGACTAATTTACAGAACGCATAACTAGAACTCTCCAAATACCTAGGTGTGATTATGAGATCGACACCTGAAGAACTGTCGGAGTCGCTTAGAGCGTTTTATTATCGCTTCAAAACTAACGAGATAACAATATAGCAAATAAAAACCGGAAGTAAAAATCACAAAACAAAAAGCGTGAAAATAGTTAGCAGCACTTAGCGCTTCCTCAGCTCGAAGTGACTGTAATAGTGTACGTAGTACAGGCCTCTTTGATAGGCCATTTCTGATGCCTTCCATTGCATTTGCGGGCAGACCGCCTTTGGAGACACAATTAGTTATAATCTTCGTTTATCTGTGTCCTTCCGTATGCTAAAAGCTGTTTGTGGGAGCAGAAACACTTATTACCTAACAATAACAGAAACAAGAATTATCTCTCTTCCCGGAGCCGAATTTGACTATCGGCAATTGCCGGGTTCCTTTCGTGTCGTTTTGGTTAATCCCAGGATGATGGGTTTCCATTCACTTTACGTCGTCTAGAAGGTGAGCACTGCCTGGGAAACGCTCAAGGGCCATCTTACGTTTGAGAAGGGTACTGTCCGAAAGAATGGCCTTGGACGTGTCGGCTGGGAGGCTGTTGATCGCATCTTGAGTCGGTATGAAGACAGTGTACAGGTCACCTTAAAAAGAAAAAAGAAATACCAACAATGATCGGGTGTTAATAAAAGAATGCACGAATGGTTGACGCATGGGCTAAGCTCTGAAAAATGGCGGCTGCCTTGATTTACTTTCTATTTAAGGGGGCATAGAAATAATGATATTGTGATTGAGCTCTCTTTTTTGTCGTAAGGTATACTAAAAGGATATGTCTGGAGTATGTACAGTCTACCACAATACGGGACTCATTCGCTGATGGAGTTTATGCGGCAGTGCTAGGTACACTTTGGCCTAAGGTACTTCATTTTTAAAATAAAAATACATAAAAAACGTTCATTTATTTTCTCGTGTCAAGCAACCTGGGCGAATCCCAGCGAATCCAGCGGATTTTCTCAAGACTGTCACTGGGTCGTCGAATGAGTATTTCCGCATTGTTGAAAACTGTTTATATACTTTTCTGGCATCCTCTAAAAGTGCCGTCAGCACAATGTTTTTTTTTTTGTTTGTTTGTTTTTCGCGCTAAGAAGGCCCGTTTGCATGACAAACTGTTAACGGGGTTAACGATACCGGAATTCGACGAACTCACTGTTCAAGACCTGGACGAGACCGGCCGACTGCAGGAGCTTGTAGAAGTAGCCGTATTTCGATTGAATAGTCTGAGGCAGCACGCTTTCGGCGAACGGGTAGAGTACTCGGTCCACGATGTGGAGGACGACGTTCTCGAAGTTCGTGTCTCCTTGGATGATGTTCCCACCAGCAATGGAGATCGTCTGAAGTGGGAACACATGAAGATACGTATGGCCAATTCGTCTGGGCCCGCATCGCACCGGTGCAGTGCGGTTCGTGGTACACGGAAGGCTAGAGGGGAGAGGGGAGCTTCCTTCTCTCCCCGCCAGCCTTTTGTGTACTAAATTGGAAAGAGTTTACTGCACTGGACGGGTGCGGTGTGCCCCAGACGAATAGGCCATTAGAGCGTTGTTGCAATGTAAATGGTGACGCGGCTTTTTTTTTTTTTTTTAAACGTCCGTGTGTGTTTTTAGCCACTGAGAGGTTAAGGGACGCAACGTGTGGCAAGATCGAAAAATATTATCATCGTTCTGCAGGCAGCGATATTGCGACACCAGTCAATGAAAATGCTGCAAATCGAAAACATTAAGCGTAAATATAGAAAGCCACGGCCTGTTTGTCCTGAATAATTATATTATACTTTGGCGTTCTATAGACACTGATGGTTTAAGTTGCCCTTGACGTCTTAAGCTTTTAGTGACAATAAATAAAAGGTGATTTTGAAGGACCAGGAGGTAAGAATTAGTAAACGAGCGTTCAGTTTCAGCATACTATACACAGACTATTACACACTAATATATGCCGGACCTAGCTATAAAAACAAGAGCAGTCTCGCTCGGTTTGCATTTGCTTTTATAAATTTATAATAAGTAAAGAACCAGGAGGTAACAACGCGGCAATATCCACTCCCTGCTTAAATTCGGTTAGCGTGTCCAGCATAAAACTAGCTGTGTGCTATTGCTTCGCATGAAACTGAAAAAAAGTATCTGGCTCTTTACTTCAGTTCTTGTACTAAGACTCTTTGAGACAACTTCTTAGAATAGTTTGACGGATAACAATGAATGCGAAATAGCGACTTACCCTGCCGTTGTCATAGACCTTGACAAGGAGGTTGTCTCCACTTAGGGTGGTGATCTCGAGTTCGCCCTTCAGTGATCTGCTGGATACAGCATCGCCGGCGATATGGTGCAGCACAAACGTTCTGAGGAACCGCTTGTCGCTCTCAATCTTCTTGAGAAGACTAGCGGGTAGTGCTGCAAAGGCCATATCGTTGGGGGCGAAGATCGTGAAGGCCTCTGCAAAAAAAGAAGAAAAGAAGGGCATGTTAATTTCATATTTAATACTCTTGCTCGTTTCTGTTAAAACTGTTTGTTTTCATTTGTAGAAAAGAAAGGATCCGTGAACGAGTGTGTTAGCGCAGCCCAATTCGGAGCAGGTGGAGCGAAAGCTCGCGCTGCAGTACCCAGGGATCCAGGGTTCAATCCCCTGCCCGTTTCGATCTGAATGAGCATCGTGCTGGCGTGCGGTCGTGCTGTACTGCTGTGGGGCGAACATTAAAAACCGCAGGCTAGCTGTGGTACTGCACTGGCTAAATGTCTGATATTTAGTGTAGACACTGTGCAGACACCCATTAGCTCTGGCGAAGTTCCCACAGTCACAAAATCCTACTATTATTTGTGGAAATGTTTCGATGATGATTTTGTTTTGCGCTTGCCTAGTTTGGACATTTGGGCGACCTGCCCGCCTGGGTCTCTAAGCTAAGACATGTGTGTCAGACAAGAATAAGTACTAGGGAACTAAACATTGCAATTTAAAACAAGAATAGCGAATTTCTTGATTTATGGGAAACTACACGCGTATCGAATCACACCACTTCTGGGATAGCCCCGAGTCCATTTTTGCCCATTCCAGAAGCTAGCCTCCTGCCAAAAAGCTAGTCTGAACTGTCCAAAATTATCAACTTGACCATTGGTCAAGTTGAGCTTGTGAAACACGAAAGGATTTTTATAGGCCGTATGTTATTTTTGCTGTGGAAAAACATTGTTAAGTTAGTTTTAGTAAAGCACCTAACAGACACAAACTCTTAATATTTAATTTATGCAAGCATTTTAATGATTATTCGTATTATAAATAAAAGCGAATATAACTAGAAATAAAATAAAACAGTAAAGGTTGTTATTAGATTGTTAAAATTAATGACCATTAACAATAATTGAAGTTATAACATTTGGGTGTTTCATTCAAAAGATGGGATAGGGAACGAGGAGTGCTAAATGAACATGGTGTCACGCTCACTGAATTGTGCTTGTGACGTTACGTAAACAAAATTAAAGCTTGTGAATTACCCAAGAATTTATTTTCCAAAAATATTTCTTCGAACGACGCGCGTTTTAGGAATTATCTTCTGCCTCGCATACGAACATTTTGCGGCAGCCTCATCGAGTGGAGTTATTTCAGTTGAAAGCTTTTCTCCCCATTCCTCAGCCGCACATACCATGAACTAGTCGCTTCTCTAAAAGTTTGTTCAATCTAAATATGTATGTATAAGACGTTTGGAGAACCCTGGCCTTTGTTTGAAGAAAGCAGTCATCGTTTGTTATAAATATAAAAGTTGAGGAAACAAGAGAACCTATTTCTAATAAAGAAGGTTATAAAACAATAGGCCAGATAATGTATTTGAGACTGACATAGCGCAAACAATTTACCTCCAAAAAATATGCTAAGAATAGTAAGCTGATGTTTTTTTTATACAACCCAAGTTGAAAACCTAATAGCGTAGTTTTTTTTTTTCTGTTGCTTGCTCGTTCTATTTGATTCAATATTCGATTCATTTATCGCTCGCAGAAAACCATATGCAGGGACAGGCCTGTCGAAACCACATGGGGCCAAATGGAAGCTCTTATCATAGATTAATAATTTGATATTTTTGTCGATCGACTTTTTTGCACGCTTTACTGTAGGCCACTCTCCCAAAAGTGTATACTCACGAAGGGACACGAGAACATCCTCGACCTCTGCGCGACGGAGGTACTTGCAGAACACCGTGGCATCGCGTTGCTGGAGAAAATCGTAGAGCCCTTTGAAGTGGCTCACAGCTCTGCTCTCACGGACGAGGACGTCGGCTTCATGCTCTGCAAAAAAACAAAAACAACGGGAACAAAGAAAAACGTAAGCGTCTCATTTCTAAAGAAAGCAGCCGCATCAGTTCCGCACTCAGATACACTCAATAAGTTATCAACTTCGGTATTTATTTATTTTACCCTCGGGCAAAAGTCGGCGAGTAAAACAAATGAATGAGAACCAATCGTACACAATAATACATAAAGATGTTTCCGAAGGAAGAGTCGCCATCTTACTTTTTTAATGTAACCCGCCTTTAATCTTCCCACGCTCAAATTTAAAAAGAAGAAGAAAAAAAAGCGCGATCGTTGTTACACATATAGATCAACTCAACTCACTGACGTCACGCGACTGCGGTGGCGCTGTTGTCGGTACTGCGCATGCGCAAACGCTTCACTCCTCCCGAAATCGGTTTCTGCGCACGCGTAGTGCCCACACCTGGAGTGGGCAAAACGGAGTATAGGAGTTTATTGGCACAGCAGCAACGAGGGCCATAATATGTGGGCAACACGGACTTCTTTCTAAACACTGTGTTCGTGTATAGAACATTCCATCGCTTATCGCCAGGGTGAAAAATGCAGAGTCACTGAGCTGTGGACGCAAGCGTAGCGTCTGATATACAGCACGACAGAGCTACAGCGCATGCTCTGGAGGCGTTCGACAGCCCAGCAGACAAAGATGTCAGCGCGCAGATGGCGATTTTTGCGAAGGTCTATGGTACTCCGTTTTTCCTTTACGTCTGATCGCAGCCGAGGTCACGATCGCATGGAGGGAGCCGTTAAAGCAGAGTCAAAAGTGCATAGTCACGACGATTGTTTTCCTGGATATCAAGGATTTGTATTATTCACTCCAACCAGCCATTTTGCTTTGTAAGGTCCGCTCGTTTCTAGAGGAGAATTTAGTTCGGTTTCAGTCTCAGTCTGGTATAGAGATCGATGATTTTCTAAGGATACTTGAGCTGTATCTAAAGTTGACAGTGGTAAACTATGATGAGCGGAAATACATTCAACGTCAAGGCATTGGTTCGGCTGTCGCCCCGGCCCTTTCAGAAATATACATCCGGTGCTTAGACCTAAATTGAATGAGATGATCAGACATTATCACCCGAGCTCAGTACTTTTTAGAAGATATGTGGATGACATATTGGTATGTGTCAGTGACTCAGCCCTTGCTGGTTACATCGAGAATGCCGTGTACAGGGAAGCACCGGAGTTTCAGTTTTCTATAGAAAAGCCAGCCAACAATGTACTTCAGTATTTAGACCTCCAGCTCAGATTGGTTCCCGGCTTATGTTGGTCGTATGGCAAAGAAAAGGCTAAACCAGTACTTCCCTTTGATAGTTTCCATTCAAAGCATGTCAAGGCAGGATTGGTTCGAAACATGATTAACAACGCGGTTCAAAAGTCATGTTGGCACTCCATTATGACGTTGATTCAAGTTGTGTTTCCCCGGCTAAATGTTGCAAAGTATCCTCAAAAATTTATTCCCAAGCAGCTTTCGTACATTGTTGCAAAATACAAACAAATTAGGAAAATGCCCGAGCAGAAAAAGTTTGTAGTCGTACCGTTTTTCCATAAGATTTCACACAATTTAAAATCAGTCGGTAATAAGTTTGGTTTACGCATAGCGTTTAGCACAGATAGCAGTTTGAAACGGTTAACTCCGTTCGCTTCCGCCCAGAAAGATTGTTTAAAAAAACACAGGGAAAAGTGTGCTACATGTATTTCAGGTATAGTCTGCAAGATCCCTTTTGATTGTGGTTTGTGCTATATAGGTCAAACGAAGCGTTGTCTCAATGATAGACTAGCCGAACATAAACGATTAGTATAAAACAAGGATCAATATTCCGAGGTATCCAAGCATATTCAGGAGTGTAGGAATTGCGTGCCTTTATGGAACTCGACAACCACAATTGTAACAAAAAAAAAAAAAAAAAACGACCAGAAGCGCCTGCTGAAAGAGTCAATCGCAATAACGAAGCATTTCTGCGCATGTTTGTGTATAGTTGTGTACATTTGTGTATTGGTACCTTTTTATTTTCAGGAAAAATGCCTCCTGAATGCTGCAGGCTAGACTAAATAAATATGCTTTAATACGCTGTTGTGGCATTTGAAGATGTTCTGCGTGAGTTCGTTGTTTAACAAGCGTGCTGATTGCTGAAACAAACTGATTTGATATGATATGCTTCATTGCATTTTTTAGGGTTTGTATTATTCGTCTTATTGCAAAGACAGGTTCACGTACCTAATCCTAAACACGACTTCGCTAGAAACCGCTTCGAATAGAGAATACGCGGTTGGGGGTTTCGTTTGTTTTTGTTTTTCTACATGTTATTCCTTCCTTCTCGGTATCTGCACTTGTCCCAGTGCAAAGACGTGGTGTTCAAAGGAAGAAACGAAAATGTCGTATTTATAACACTCCATTTCGGTAAACCACCAGAGGTTACAAGCGTCGACTCTGAACATTATTATTTGCTGCATTTTCCACACAAAATAAAGACTCGAATGTTTTGAACGAGGCAAGAAAACTAAATGCGGGCACGGCATCAAAATGCGGCCTTACTCCGACTTCTGCAGCACGCTCGAGAATTCGCACGAAACCCCAGCGCCGCCGCTTAGCATAACGGTTTATAACCAAAATGTATCCTTGAGCCTAATATGTTCCAAAATGTAAAGCTGAGCGTCTCACTTTTTAATGCGACGCCACCGTTTGTTTTATTCTTGTTTCAAATATATGTCTTTTTCTCGTTCCGCCAGTCGGACATTAGAAGACGAGAATAAGGTAAATTAAAATAAAAAAGACCAAGGAAAGGATTAAGCGGGCCGTTATCTGACCTTTTGGCCGCTGTCGCGCTAAGGGATGAGCTGAGAAATACAGACCCCATCCACATACACACCTCAATGTCGCGACTGGCCACTGAATGAGTGGGGGAAGAAAAAAAGACGGTAGACCTTGCGGCGGAAAGCGGTCGAACCAGTCACTGAAAAGTAACGGTCCCCACGCGATCGTCTCCAGCGGCACGTTCGGTGGACCAGATGGCTTGCGCAAGCAATGTCCCCAACCGGACTGCCAATGAAGCCGGACGTGGTCTTATCTGGAGCACGTCCCGGTAAGAGGAGAGCACCGGCGGTCGTCTTCGAACCAAGGACAAGTTTCAAGCGCCCGGCAGACTGTAAATCGTCCAGCGGCCCGCAGTATCCTCATCGACCAGTACGCGGATGTTCCTGTGCCTTTTGGCGTACCTAGCCAACGTCATCCAAGGTGCACTGCAGAGTGGTGTGTCGCGCCTGGGGCTGCTGAGACGCCCCGAAGGAAAGTCTGCGTGGCGTAGGGTCAAGCATTGACGACCCCTGTACGGCGGCATATCGAGGCTTTAATGGTCTTTTTCTTATGATCCGCTGTACGCTTCAGGGATTACGGAGTCGGGCTCAAGCAGTGTACGTGAATAATCTGGATCTGGTTTTTGGATCAATCGAATCGTGATATGCAATTTGATCGTGGTTTATATAGTTTCGCTCCCTACTGCCGTTTATTACGCTTAACTATTAATATTTGCGTGTGGTTCTGGTTTATTTCCAAGTCAGTTACAGATCTGGGTCAGTTTTCTCATGGCAACCGGCGAACCGGCGGAAACCGGATCACTCTTCATGGCTGTTAGTCCAAACGCGCTAGCCGTGAATATGCTTTGAAGGCAAACGCAAATGAAACCGCCTTCGTTATACTTCGTTTCACCTCAACTGTAGGCGCAGTCGACGCTGCGAGCTGACCGAACCAAACAGAGAGCCCCAAATGCACATCATCATGGTGTGGTCGTGTAATCGTACGTGTTTCATCATCGCTGAACCTCTCATAAACAGAAAAGGCCTAGGGACTTGAGCTCTTGACGTTGATCGATTAGTCACATTATCTCGTAGCTTCGGCTGCGTCTGGACTTAAACTGAAACTAAGAACGTACACTCGTAGGAAATTCAACACTTCAACTTTACCGTAAGACACCCTGGGAGAAACAATCTCTACAATATACATATGAAACTGGGCGAATGGCAAGGCTAAATATAAGTTCAGATCTAAATGAAGAGTTTGCGCTGTGGCACTGAGCATGATGCGAGCAGGTGAAATGTCAGGCTCAGTATCAAAGCACAGACTGTTCGTTTAAGTCGAGACATATTTTTGTCCTCGTCGTTTGTCGAGCTCCCTCTGAAGATTGAAGCGTTTGACTCTCCGGAGCTTTTTGGCGGGAAAGTGAACGCGGTGGATTGTTTAGAATGTAGGCTTACGTATTTGCATCAAGCTACCCTTAATAACGAAAAGGTGGGGCACGATAAACGACCCTTCTTTCTGTCGAACCCGGAAACGTTGTTTCACACATTTCAATGGATCAGTTGACAAACCATTAAGCTTCCCCACAGGTCACTGTAAAAGAGTTTTTAAAATGTATGACCGTTTTCAGAGATTTCTGTCAGAAATACATAGGGAGCCTGCATTTTGGGATAGGTGTATATGACAAACGAAGGGAGTAACCAAATAGCTGGAGAATAATAGTTTTTTAGTTACGTATTATCTGCTGTTTCTGTAATCTAAGTGTAGTCTTCCCAATGCTGTAGGCGTCACCAAAAAGAAGGTGACGAAATATTTTAATCGTTTCATGCAAATAAGAGGAACGCCTTACCGACCTACATTACCTCAAAATAAAAAGAACGCGTTAACGTTACGGTTACCGATAAAAAGTAACACCCGTTACTGTTATGTTACTTTTCATCTAAAAAGTGACGGTAACAGCGTTTTTATTAATTGCGACTACGTTTTTCGACAATGGGATACAGGGCGTAGGCGTTAGGGTTTTTCTAAAGTTGGACTTTTTGCGTGTGGAAAAAGACGGGCAAAATCTTTAAAATATATGGAATGAGTGCAATAATTAATGACTTGGCGCCTGTATTTCGCCTCAGCTGAAGTCCGGACGGAGCCGACGCAACGAGTTAATTGGGCAAACGAGGCAACGTCAAAAGCGGAAGTCACGAGGTATTTTTTTTTTGTTTATGATTGGTTCAGCGATGATAGAAAACGCACAGAAACATGACAAACACCATGATGGTGCACTTTTGACGCTGACTGATTGATCCCATCAACTCGCAGCGTCGGCTGCTTTAGACGTATGCTGAATTGGAGTATCGAAACACGAACTAAATCTAAGTGTACTTTTTTTTCAGGGATTAGGAACAAGAGGTAACGAG